TTTCAATTAAATAACTAATAAAAAAAAGTATTTTAAATTTTATAAAGATTAATTATAAAATGATTTGTCTATTTATGTCTTTCATGACTACATACATATGTTATGTTGATAAATAAATACATATTTAGTATAAAATTAAATTTAAATATAATAAAATATTTCAAAAAATTTCAAAAAAAATTTTATTTCAAAAAATTTATTATTATTCTTTTGGAATCGAGAGAATAAACCTCAGCACTGTGATCTTTATTTAATTTATTTAGATTAATTAAACAAAGGAAATAATTTTTAAATTAAAATAATTATTTTTGTTTTTAAAATTATAAACAATTTATTAGCAACTTAAAAACTAAATACACCATTTTGAATCTACATTAAATATGTACAATTGCACGACTAAATGCATAATTTTATAATATTAAAATAAAAATAAAATCTATTTAATTATAATTAATTTTGTAAAATTAATTCTACGAAAATATTGTTATAATTATTTGTTAAATTGAGCAAAGCCTCGGAATTTCCTATGTACACATTAAGTCCTCTTAGAACTAACAAAATAATAAATTACTACAATTTTAAATTTTAAACATTTTGGCAACAATGTAAAGGCTCCCAAGATTAGCATAATAACATTTTAGTATGTATAATTAAATAATGTAAATGAAATATCCTCCACGAATAACGATTAAATATTTGGTAGAACAATAATTATTTGGAGTTAAACAAAACAATTTAATATATAATTTTGTATGTTTTTTTAAATATTAATGTAAATTATATTAAACTAAAATTATTTAAACAATTTTATTGAATTTTTTCAAAAATTCTGTGACCGGAGCTCACACCAACAAATTTAAATAAAAAAATAATTAATAATAGTGAATCTTGATATTTGATCGACGTTAATAATTTAATTAAAAAATGATGGTATAAATATATATTTTTGTCTCTTGATTAATTTGAAGTATATTATAATTAGAGCCCGGATTTTTAGGCAAATGCCTGTTTTTTTCCTAGATAGGCCTGATGCTGAAACGTTCAAATCCGGTGTTATTTTACTGAAATCTGCTTTCTAACTAATTTTATCATTGCCTAAAATTGCCTATTTTAACTTTTTCTGACAAAATGCCCTATTTTGCCTTTTTTCAGCCTATTTTGCATATTTTTACTAAAATTTGCGAATTTTTGGGCATTTTTTGAGAAAATTGTCGACTAAAAAATTTTTTTCTGGTAAAATATAAAATTTTTCCAAAAATTTTTGTCAAAAAATCTTTTTGGGATAAATTTTCTTCTGAAAAATTTATCTAATTAATTTTTCGAAACAAAATAATTTATAGAAATTAATTTATATGTAATTCTGATCGTTAAAATTAATTTATTTAACAGTTTATTGCTTAGATTTATCATTTTTGATAAAATTTAGTCAATTTAAATCAGAAAACCTCGAAAAAATACTGCCTATTTTGCCTTTTTTTCGAATTTTAGTGCCTATTTTGGCAGTTTGTTAGTGCCTATATAGGTGCCTATTTTTAACTTTATCGTGCCTAAAAATCCGGGCTCTAATTATAATTATATATTAAATGCAAACAAATATTATTTAAATTGTTTAAAAAAGAAGGATAATTTAAAAAATATTAAAAAATAAAATATACCTATTTATATTTAATAAAATAAGTTATAGAATGCTTTAAAAGTAAAAAATAATGTGTCAAAAATAATTACGAGATTCAGAAAAATTTGAAAATGGAGGCTCATATCAAAACATTATATTTATTTAATACTATTAATTTTCCCCCCAAAATTATATCCTTAGCAAAACCTAGAATTTTATGTCAACTTTATTTATTTTATTAATTTAAAATTTAGTTATGGGAATTTAAAATTAGAATTCGAACAAAAATGCAACATTAGAAGTTGAATAGAGGTTGAAGAATGGTAAATAATGCACCTCAAGAGATGTTTTCTAAAATAATTGAGGATTCTACTATATTGGTTTAAATAAAAAATAAATTAAAATATTAGTATGTATTATGCAGGTTCTAATTGATTAACAATTAATTTAAATACACAAAATTATTTTGTAATTTAATAAATTTAATTTAATAGAAGTCTGTATATGTTTCTAAAATAATTGAGGAAAAAATGTTATATGTTGAGGAAAAAATGTTTAAATGTTGTATGATAAATATCATTTTTTAACAAATTTTATTATAAAATAAATATTACCTACATACATAATTATTTAAACTATATTAAAGGAAGAAATGATAACTTAAAAAATATTAAAATAAAAATTTTTCTTCAGAAATTAATAATATTTTAATTTTTCTTATATTTTTAGATGTTGTGGGCTAAAATGATTATTAAATTTTAATTGGTTTGAAGATTCAGCAATGTTATTTAAAAGATTAATACAATAAAATACAATATTTAATAAATACTCAACAATATTTACAAAAATAATTAATTAATTCATTTTTCAGTTTCTAGCGAATTATATACCAACGAAACTAAATAACAATTATTTTATAAATATTAATTAATCAAAAAAATTCATTAAATTAAAAAACAAAAAATTAAATAACTGAACAAAATAATTTTTTATTTTAAATTTAAAAATAATTATTTTCAAAAAATTATTTTATACAAAAAAATTTTTTTCCTTAGGAATCGAGAGGATAAACCTCAGCATCGTGATTATTATTTAAAAATATTTAAATTCAAATATTTAACACAAATAATTTAATAAAATAATATCATTAAATAATATTTTAAAAATATCAAATTAAATAAATAAATAAATAAACTCCATTTTTCAATTTATATTTATAATACAACTTGTCAACTATTACTAAAAAAGCAACTGTATGCAAAATATATATTTTTTTCTAATATAAGAAAAATTAGAGTTTAAGAAATATTCTTTAAAATAAAGTATTTTTAATATATTTAAATAAATAATGTTAAAAAACGCTTTCAAGTTTGTAAATTACTCTCAACTCAAAAACAATTTTTATATTTGTTTTAAACGAATGGCCCATTTGAAAAGGGCGATAACAGAATTAAATTTATTTTAAAATATAATTCTTTAAAATAATTTAGTAAATAATAAAAATATTATGATAAATTAAGAGAATAGTTGTGAATTTGTTTAAAATCTAGTGACATATTCGTGTTATGGGCAACTCGAGATTATCAGAAAATATGTATATTTTAAAATAAAGGAATTTAATATTAAATAATTGTTTAATTAAAAAATATTTTTAATAAAAGTTAAATTTATAAATTAAAATATATTTGTAAATTAATTTAAATAAATTATTTATTCCCCACGAATAACCATTAATAATCAGTGAAACAAAACTTTAAAATAAATATTTATTAAATCCACAAATGATTTTAATAAACAAAATTTTTCAAAAAATTAAAAAATAATTTGGTTATTTTAATAAAATTTTTGATTGTTTTGTATTGTCTACTAAAGGATTATGGATGAAATAATTGACAGATTTATTTTAAATAATTTAATATTTAATTAAAAATTTTAGAAAAATAATTTTAGAATAAAAATAATCAGAAATACATAATATATTTAAATATTTCATCTAAACCATATTTAAATATTTCATCTAAACCAGACAGAATGTGAACTTAATTTCGCCATCATATAAGGGAAATTAAATATATATATAATTTTAAAAATGTTTATTTGTAATAAATTAATTAATTATGTTTACCGCGATTCGTTAAACAGCACATACGTATCTGAACAAATTGTTAAAAAATTAATTAGAAAACCTTTAAACTATGACTTCAAACTTTTAGCATATCCAAACAACAAGAAAATTAATTTACACCAAAATAAATTCCTTACCGATTCAATGACAGAAAATGCAATTAGCATTTAAAATAAAGTAATAATGTTAATATTCAAATAAAATAATAATTATTTTATAATATAAAATCAGAATAATTATAAATATCCGTTAAACAGGCAGGGTTCGAATGCCACTAGGAAAAGTATTAGAGCAAAAATTATTTTAAGAAATAATTTTAAAAATAAAAATTTGTTTTTCTATTAAATTCAAGTATTTTTAATTAAATAATTATTAAAATACTTTTTATCTTATTTCAATAAATATAAATTTAAAATAAATTTAAATATTTATATTCTGATAAAAATTAATTTGAGACTGTCAACAATGTGGTGCATGTGGTACATGTACTTGAACAAAAAATAATTATGGATATAAAAGTATAATTTTATATAAATGGAAATTTTTTTATTTAAAATTTTTTAAATTTAAAAGTTTGTTAAAAATAATTTATGAGGAAGTAATGAAAATAATAAAAAAATAAATAAAAATAATATTAAACTATGAAGAAGGTAATTATATTTTTGGTTGCCTTTCTTATCGTTAAATAAAATTGTTTTATACGTTTAATAAATATTATTTAAAATAATTAAATATTTATATATTATTGTAATAAATTCATCAATTTTTGGGGAATAAAGTCGAATTTTGTTAAAATTGTTAAAGATTTGCAGTCAAAGGCAAAAAACATAACTCATATTTTCTTCAAAATATAGTTATTCCCATTAAAATAATTTTTACTCAAACTTTGATTGACTGATTGATTTGACTGATCTTCAATTTAAACTTATTCTTCTCAAACTATGAAGAGTATGTAAATTAAATAAAAGATGTTTAATTAAATTTTTATCAAAAAAAAACAAATAAATTCAAAAAAGGGAAGTAATTAATCCCGAAATTACAAATAAACTTTTTGAAAAAATAATATAAAAATTAAAATCCTGGGATAGATTTCACCTTATAATTTAAATTTTTACTTTAAATATAATCTCATATTTGTTAAATAATCAAAAAATTAAAATATAAAATGCTTCAACACCTAATCTGTTTCAGATGATAACTTCAAAAAGTCAGTAGAATAAAGTAAAAAATTTAAATTTAAAAAGGCAGTTAAAAAGTGTGGGAGTGAAAATGCGTAATTAAATTTAAAAAGAAAAATATCCAAAAAATACAAAAATAAAATTTAATTAAAAGGAATTAGAGAGGGTATTCCAGAAAATAATATTTTAGTATTGAATTCGAAATTAAAAAAATAAAATATTTTCTAGAATTAAAAAGAAAATAACATATCCGGAAAAGACAAAAAACTCTGAAAAATACGTTATAAAATCTAAACTCTGATTTGTATTTTCAATTAAACTTCACCTTTTTAATTTGTTAATAAATTTCAGAATTTTTAATATTGCTTGTTAAAAATGAGAATAATTGAAAGAAAAGGGAAAATGAGGAAGAAAGAAATTAAAATGTTTAGAAAATGCTAATTTTAAACAGGAGATCCCATTAAATGTTGCTGTTTGTCTTTCCCCTTTCCTGCACGTTGTTGGAGTAAAGGTTGCTGCTCACTGTTTGATGCATTTACTGCAGCATTCCCAACAGTGATTGTAATTGCCTGATCATCGTCTTCCTCAGGCGTTGCAAGTCGAGGTGAGCCTGTTTCTTTTCTAAATATTTTATAAAATAAATTATAAAAATAAATTATAAAATTATACATATAATTATTTTTAGATAGAAAATAACATAATAATCATTTTTCTAACACTATTTTTAGATAGCCTTTGGGACTGAAATTCATAGCAGATAAACGTACTACATATAAATTGGAAGTATGCTTAGCCATCTTCTACTAACCAATTAAAAAACCTAATTTTTGGGGCAGCTAAAAATGAGGTTCGCCTGTATATACGTTTTTTTGTTAGGGATTGGTCGAAATCAAAAGTTAAAATTTCTCAAAATTCAATCAAGATTCGGTCAAAATTTTGATTTTGTCAAAATCCGATCCCTAATTATTGTATTTCTAAACTATTATTAAATAAAAAAATATTTATTTTAATTCCACACCGTTCACAATGGACAGTTGCAGTCATTGGAGAGGGAGATTTAGTAATTGGACCAGAAGAGCTCTGATCTCTCTTTGGATTTGGCGACTTTGAATCTCTCACTTCTCCATCTTTTCCAATTTTTTGCAAGGATGATTTTGATTCGCTAGCAATAGAACGCCACATTCCTGTTTGGCAGACTGCTTCGCTGATGTTAATATTGTGGGAAGGAGGTGTTGGCTCTTGGATTGCCGCCAACGGGATTTTGATGACCTGAACTAATATTTGGTTAAAAAATTATTTGTTTTAATAAACAAATTAACATTTCCAGATGTCATAGGTATGTGTAAATGAGCCTCAGTCTTCACTGCTCTAATCGTTCCTTGATTCTCATCCAAATCAATGTCAATTGTCTGTCCCCCATGTGATTCCCTTTTTTGTTTATCCTCAGTTCGGCGCAAATGAAATTCTGGCATTTTATCGTCCAAATACTTCAAATCTTTCTCAGAAAAACAACGCTCCATTAATTTTCTAACGGCTACCATTACAACCAACTTAAGTTTAATTAAGGTTAAAATACATATTCATCTATTCAAAAACATGCCATAATAGGAAATGTCATAGAAGTTGCTTTAATCGACTTAACCAGCCATAAACATGCCAGACAGGCTATTTGGAATAATGTAAATTTGTGAATGACATGGATGGGAACATGGCGTATGTAGATAGTGTCCGGTTGGTATTTCATTGGCATCAACTAAAGGAGAAGTAAATAAATAATTTTTAATTTTATTTCACTGTTTACCATTAATAAGAAACGATCAAATAATTGAATTCCACCCAATGCAGAAATACCCATATAAAGAAAAACTCCATAAAGTACAGGCATTGGGATGTGACTGAGTAACTTTGTCATTGTAACGGAGAGACCGATAAGTAGGAAAGTGCAAATGCCAGTTAAACGTTGTTCTCTTTAAGAAAAATTTTTATCATTAAAAATAATGCTTAATAATGTTAATATTGTATAATTATTAAAATTTTTAATAAAGCACACCTAACACCAATAAATTGTGCAACTTCCCCAGGTGCCCTACTTTCACTTTCAACACGTAATGAGTTGACATGGTTCATTGAGAGAACAGTAGCAGCTACATAAATTGGCAACCCCAAAGCACCAACAATTATAATAAGAATTGAAAGAACAAGCAAATCAAGATGATAGCCACAACCTTTAAAAAAATACAAACATTTTCTTTCAAAAAATAATATTTCCGACACCTTTTTTCAATTTATTTTCTCTTCGATTAACAATAACAGTAGTTATTTGTTGATCCATAAAAATTAAAACACAAGCCAACAATGCAGGGAAAATAGCAAAAGGTATTGTCCAAAAAGGGTTAGAGCCAAAAGGAGGGACAAACCAACCACGACCTGACCAAGTTGGCTAAAAAAGGGGTTACTTTAAGCATTTCTTTCAATTATTAAAAACTCTAAAAGTAGATGGCACATTCAATTTTGGTGTATTAATTCCAACAAAAATATCAAGTAATGTCATACAAATAATTGCAATCATTACTGCAAAGTCACAAAGAATTTGACGGACTTTTGTAGGGAAATAACGACTGTTTCTCATTCTTTTTAGAGTTATAGCCATAAAAAATGTTCCAATCTGTTGTTAAAAAAATTAGTTAATAATTTAAGGAAATATTCTTTCAATTAAAATTAAATTTATTAACCATAAGAACAATGCTCATAAGCAACTTGTCATGTAAAATATAGCAAGTACTTCCTTCTAATTGTCCCAACAATTGTTTACATTTACCCAATGGAATAAGCGAATAGTCAATCTCCATTTGCCCCGAACTGTTATTAGTCGGTAATAAAGTAAAGTGACGTTTAGCAGCTATAGCCTGAACTTTGGCGAAAGGAGCACCGGTCGAAATACAATGACATTCTTCTCCAACAGGTATAGGCTCGTTTGGAGGTATATAACTATATAGGTATATTTTTTGAATTAAATTATTTACTATATTTTATACCTAATAACATCCAATTGGTCTTTAATCATAAAAAGTTTCATACAAGCCTTTAAAGTTAGATAATATTTTAAATTATTTATTTAAAATTTAAAATCACTTCATAAATAAAAATGACTGCTATAAGCATTGCAAAAGACTCTTCAGTAAAACGAGTAATATATGATACTAAAGAAGATGCATCTGTTGCAACCATTATAAAAATAATTAAAGCAGTCCATACATGAATCCAAAATCGAAATGAGAGGTAGTCAATTGAAAGAGACTTTTTTAAAGAAATTAATTTTAAAGAATTTTAAAAATTATTATTCTATTACATTGCAAATATCAAAGGCAATTGTTTCAAAAACAAGTACAGGGCCGGTAGAGCCAATTATAGTTAGAGGCTGGCCACTGAACAAGTGATATATGATGCCACAGATTGCACCGCTAGCTAAATTCTCCATTGCTGCCTTTAAAAGAATTTTAAATTTTTCCAAATATTCTTTAAATAACCATTCTTTGATGAGTAGCTTCTTCTAAAAGACCACCAAAAGTTACAATTGGGGCCAACAGTGCAAAATACATAAAACAAGTAGTTGCTATACATTGAAGGTTTAATGCATCAGTAAAATCGGATAAATAATGCGGGGCTTTCCGACTTTAAAAATTAAAATTTATTTTAAATTTATTTCCAAATTAACACACCGAATGTCCAACATTAAACCCCCAAACAATTTCCCAGTTCTGCGTAAACCAGGATCTTGACCGTGACCCTCCTCTTCTTCCAAACTAGTCTGAAACTAATAAAATTAAAAAATAATTTTATTTTTTAAACTTTTTTCCCGTTGGCTAAAGCAAGTTTAGAACCTCCAATGCCACCCAAATCCTTTCCATTACTCCCTCCAGGTAATCCAATTGTGGGATCACCAGTACTAGCTCCTGATAATTTATTACAGGCAAATTTGTCACTTATAGCTGAGGGCTTTTGCTAATAATTAATTTTAAGATATAATTATTTTAAAATATTAAACTAACCTGAATACGGCTTTGTTGATTAGGGATTGTACTAGGGGGCTCAATTCGAATGCTAAAAATTTTAAAAAATAATTTATATCTTTCCGAAAAATTAAATTATTCAAATAAATATATTAACAAAAAATCCCCACCTCGGATCCCATTCGCCGGGCGGTAAAACAGTTACTGCATCTAAGAATTCATCAACACCATCTAGCAAATCCGAACGTTGTTTTGCCTTGTAGGCAACTTCATGGAATATCTAAAAATTTTAACCTAATTTCATTTAAATAAAAATTCTTCCGGTGATTTATTTTCGGATATTTTTAAAAATATTTTTAATAAAATGACCCATTCTAAACAGATCATGTTTTTTATTTAAAGTTAATCCTTTTGTTTCAAAAATTTCTAATTTTAAAAATGACAGTCCACAAAGTGTGTTAAGGACCAAAATTTTTTTAATTATTTAATTTCACCTCGTCACTCATTAAAGTAGCAATTGCTCGACCAATTTCCTTAAATTGGGCAGCATGGCCTGACGGGCCGAGGAGGAGGAAGAGAAAACGGGTAGGTACAGGCACCTCTGTTAGATCACCAAGTAATTGTGCTTTTTTAAGTCGAACAAATGCTGTTATGTGATGACTGAGGAATTCGACCTAAAATTATTAAAGGAATTTTAATTAATATTTAAAAATTAGAAATATGTAATTAAAATAATTGAAGACTGTAATTTTTTTAGTTTTAATAAGTATTATTACGGCCAAGGACCAGTAAAATGGAACTAAGAAACCGTTCATTTTTTAGAACCTAATTTTTAATAATATGATTTAATAATATAATTTAATATTAATAATATGAAATCTCAATTTAAATTTACCTCTCCAACCAAAACATTTGAAGCTTCAACTCCAGGAGGAAGTTTTTTCATAAAATGTGTATTTCGACCAAAGAATTCACTATTTTGAGAGCCTTCTTTTTGTATGTCTTTTGGGAGAGACCCAACCTTTAAATATATTCTGATTATTTTTTTTAAATATTTATTTAAATTCACTTTAGGAAGGTCAAGTTGAGGACCAAATTGCGGCTTTTTATTAACGGGGCTTTGTGTTGTGCTGTCTCCACCACCTTGTAAATTCTCTTCTTGACCTTTTTGATGGAGATTTTTGCCATGAGAAAATGAACGTCCAATATCCGAAATGGAGCGAACGGCATTTAAAAAACTTCCTTGGCTACTCGATGCACCATTTGAACTCCCACCAGAATGACGAGCCTAGAAATTGTTTATTAGGTATAAATTTGAAACAGAAAAAATAAAATTAATTTTTTATTAAAGAATTATAGCGAAAATACAAACTTAAATTATTTAGAGGGTAATTAAAATTGAATAAAGGGGATATAATTGAGAGAATTAAATGTGTAAAAAATTATAATTACCTGCTCGTATTGATGAGTATGCCGTCGAGAAAGAACATAACGCACCGCCATTTTTTCACTTTCTTGTAAATCGTTTTTGGCTACAAATTCGTCCAAAATATGTTCTAAAATAATTTTTTAATTATTTTAAAATAATTAATTAATTATTAACACACCAATTAATTCCGGCATTGATTCTGCTTCTGAATCAATTAGTATAATTCCATGAAGTAAACATGAACTAAGTAATAATAATTTTTTCAATTAAAATTAATTAGAACCGTAATTGAAATAGAGCATGTAAAGACAATGTAGCAACATGCGGCTTTGACCATCTATTGCCCCCTTCTTCAACATCTTCCTCAAATTTAACCCATCTAGCTGTTTCTCTCCATTCTTCAACATCCCCACTACGCCAAAGTTCACCCATTTCAGTAAAAACGGCAGGGGCCTCACTTTGTTCACCCAAAAGGAACATTATTCGAGTTCCTGGAGCCAAATTTGCTAAAAATTTGTAAAAATATTATTTAAGAAGAGGGAGGAGTTAATAACTAGAGGAGGGAGATTTGAAGGACTTGATGACTTTGTTTAAAAGACTTTGAAGCCTTTGGGGCGATAAAAATGATTATTATAAATATTAAAGATATAATTCTCGTCTTGTATTATTCAAAGTTAATTAAAATAGAAAACTAACAAGGAAATAAAAAAAGAAAATGAAACAAAAATTTAATGTTATTTATAAAGAAGCCCTTAAAAATGAGACTTTTGTACATAATTAATAAGGAAAATATTATAGAATTAATTGAAATAATTTAATAATTAAAATAAATTATTAAAAAATCGTTGCTGTCAAATTATTGACAAATGGCTTAAAAGCCAGCCATCCTAGGGATGACCCTTTCCCTGTTTTTCCTTTAAAAACCGCAATCTACCAGTCGCCAAAAGCTTCGTGTTTTTAAATAAATAGTGCTGCTAGACTATTATTGACTGGATTTGTTTGTGTGTGCAAAGAGAGGAAGATTTTTTTATTTTAAAGGGGGAACTTCTTGTTTTTAATTTTTTTTATTTAAGCTTTTTCATGG